TTGATGATGAAAATCGAAATATTTCCAGCTAAATTCTATGTGTAAATATTTTACGAGGTCTTCTTAATGACCTTTTAAAAAGTCCTTCATGCATTCACAAACAATTTCTAGACTTTACCGAAAACCATGTAAATCAGCCGTAGCAAATCTCTCTTCCATTGTCTTTATGTCTTTGTAATCCCACTAATCATGTACTGGTCCAAAGTTGTAGCTGCGCATTACTATCTAGACTTAGCTAGCTTTGTACAAACAATCCCAATTCCTTTAGACCTGGTGTCGATGATATTCTGCCTGTTGTAAGCTATTCGATTATGCCTTAATGAAAAACCTTGATATGAAAATAAGACTGAGCGTGGGGTCATGCTAACTTAAGGCACCAGCAGGCCTAACCATCTCTCCAAAGGTGAACTGGGTCAACCGTCTCACTTTGGCGAGTGCACATGTGTCAGATATGCAACGCCTGGTTGTGAAGGGCATGAGAACTTTAACTTCAGACTTTAAAACGCAAAATAATTGCTAGTTGGCAAGGTAACGCCTAGTTTTAATCCATAAGTCAACTATGGCTATACAGAATCCTCGTAAATGCTTTGTGTAGATGAGGTTGTTAAGCCTAATATCAAAGCTCAATAATGACTGCGTGTAATTCCAGCTGAGGATTGTTTCATGCCAGGGTGGGACAGTTTTACATTTTTCCATCAACCATTGAAATAAAGGAGGCCAAATCATGCGCAAAGGGCAGGTGCATTCGAACAACGGTACCGCGTCTTGTGAAGTTGTCGTATTTTGATTTGCTCGGCATGTAGTTGAGGACTTCCTGGGGCTGCATAGCCTCGGAGACAACACTGCTTTTTATATGCTGCATATTTCCGGAGGAAACGCCTTGTGAAACTGGATTGAGATGATCTGAAGATCGCATTGCGGGGATCCACTCTGAAAACACTCCCAAATTATCGTTGTAAGCTCTACATGTCCTTGTCTTTTTTGTCATATCCATAAAATACTTCTTTACTTCTGGATTGAAATGAAACAAAACAAGAATTGCGACAATTATCATGGCCATTGTGATGAGGGTAAATGAAAGGAGGAAGTAAATTTGTGGAACATTGGCAAGTAATGGGGTGTAAATCACAATAGGATTAAGGAATTTTTCCTGAAATCTTTTTCTGCATCGCGCCATAGTTCGAGGATTGGAGAATTCAATTGCAGTCTCAGAGTCGTTGATAAGGAGGTGAGCCATTTCTTGCGTGATTAAGAGACCACGTGAAGTGCTCGTGTGGCACAAAGGTGGGTCATCGATTTGCGCCATTCAAATACTAAAGGCTCAACAGATAATGGAGAACCTGAGAAAAGAAAGACATTAATTTTATAAAGAACAAACGAGACTACCCATTAGTAAGACCTCGTAAAATATTTACACATAGAATTTAGCTGGAAATATTTCGATTTTCATCATCAA